CTCACCTCCTTTAGCTTTTCCGGGCCAATTTCCCCCCGAAGTTCTACCCGTCTTCTCAGGCAGACTCTGCCACACTCTTCCCAGGTCCAGGTCCATTTGGGGGGGATTTTAAGCCTCAGCAGCAGCTGGGCCATACACCCCCCAATCCTCAGGTCTGGGCTAAATGTCCGTTTGATGCGGCCTGAGAGCCTCTGGGCTGCAGAGTAATCGCCCGATTTCCGGGGCATCGCGGCTGTGAGTCATCCTGGAGGCTGCCGCCGCCCTCCTTATGGCGCTCCGATTGCAATCCTCATCGCAGCTCTGCCATCCATGAGCGGATCCCGCTGGGGGATGGCTCATCCGAACCTCCAGACCTTCGGCATGCTGAACGTGGGGCCCAAGATTGTTAAATTGGCCTCCAATGTTCCCAAAGTCCTCCGTTCCCTCATCGGCCTCACCAGCGAGCCCCTTGGAGGTCCACCATCTAGCGCATGCGCAGGGAATATAAGATTGTAAAACTTTCTTCAAGCTTTCTACCAGTATTGAAGTAAAAAGTTTATAATCATTATTTAATAATAAAATTGGTCTTTAATTTTTTTCCTCTCAAGACATCTTGACGTTCCTTTGGCAGGGTCTAGGATGTTTAGGCACCGACCTTTCACCCCCAGCCACCCTCCTCAGCCGATTTACAGCCAGCTTTCCTCCTCCACTGGCCCTCCCCTGACCATTCTCCACAGCCAATGGGCCCCTGGCTGTCCACCCCTTGCCCTTCATCCCTGCCCATTCTCTCAGACACAGTTTGACATGGGCATTTTACTGCATGGGACAAATAGCCCCCAGTCAATCAGGTGGCACGCAGAAGCAATGGTGCTGTGGGGGCACATGCTATGCAAGATTTTTTTAAAAAAGTGCCGTGGCTGCTCCACAAGGGTTTTTTTTTTTAAAGGGGCTGCACTTTTTGACCAATTGGGTGACTCCAGAGCTGTGGTTCTGACAGGTCATCCAGAGGGGAATGGTGCCTGAGTTATAAAAAGGTGTCAGAGGGGAGCAGACAAGAGTGTGTTGAGCAACCAGCAAGGGAGGGAGAGGCACCTTTAGGGGGCATTGGAGAGACAGCTTGCTTCTTAACTCAGCCAGTTTCAATGAAACAAAAAGGGGAGGAGGAGCAATCCCGGCACTGTTTCTGGTGTTGCAGGGGAGCATGGTAGGTGAATGGTGGTGGTGTGCGGGCGGTGGTGCAGCAGGGAAATGGTGGTGATGTGCAGCTTCTGGCATTTGCCGGAACGCAACATCAATCTCACGCAGCAGCTTTGCACAGCAACCTCACAACTTCTCCCCCCACCACAACACCAGCAGCCTTGCAGCCTTTCCCCCCAATGTCAGGAGCCTTGTCCTGTCACTTCCCCCCTCCCCCATGCAAGCAGCCATTCGCTGTCTCCCTTCCCCCCCATGCCACCAGCTTCACACCATCACTGTTTGCCTCTCCAACTCCAGCAGCCATGTGCCGTTACTGTTCGACCTCTGAAACACCAACAGCCGCATACCACTGCACCTCTTGCTCTCTCCCCCAGCCTGCCACTGATCGTATTGCACACTGGCACCCAACCCCCCTCGGTCAGCCCCCCAGCGCCATCACTGCTGCCCACCATCCCATTGGCTGTCCGATGCAGCCAAAGGCGCAGGTCAAACAGTGCTTGGGCAAATGGGCAGGGACAAAGGGCAAGGGGCCCATTGGCTGTGGGGAAGGGCCAGGTAAGGGCCATCAGAGAAAGAAAACTGGCTATAAATTGACTGAGGTGGGTGGCTAGGGGCAAAGAGGATGTGGCCAAGGGTTGATGCCTAAACGTCCCATCTGCCTTTGGTAGTAGCACAGTATTGGCTTCTTTCCAAGTTGGAGGCATCTTTGCTCCCTGTTGTATATCAATCATTATATATTTTAATGGCTGTAGGAGTTGGTCCTCAAAATATTTATAATATTCAGTTGTGAGATCATCTGGGCCCGGGACTTTACCTGTTTTCATTTTTTAAATAGCTTGTGATATTTCAAAGCTGGCTCATTTATAAGTTGTTGCAGAACTTGTGAAAATTTAGATAAATGTCTTTGTAAACAATCATCTATTTTTTTGCATGTCCAAATCCTGATTTTTGGAATGGGCAAAGAACTTCGGGTATATTATAATTTCTGAACTATGGGAAAACATATGGATGAAGAGTTTAAAATTTACGTTAAATTATAATTTAAAAGAAAATGTTTACAAAATGAGGTACCATTGGTATTTAACACCAGATAAAAGTCAAAAATGTATAAAAGTATTTCAAATATATGTTGAAAATTTAAATGTAATGAATGTAACAAATGTAACAAAATGTACATTTTAGTGTAACAAACAACTCTGTATTATCTTTGGTGGATCTATGACAAGCAAAAAAATATTGGGATAAGATTAATAATTTAATATCGAAGATTTTTAGGATTCTTAAATTGAATATAAAAATGAGACTTTTCTTTTAGGCTTAATGGGCATATAAATTAGGGGAAAATGGAACTTCGTTGTTATATAAACCTCAGCAAGACTGCTTTATGCACAAAAATGGAAAGGTACCTTAATTCCCATAATGAATGATGAGTTAGAAAAACTGATGAAATTAGCAGAGATGGCTAAATTGACTGCATTAATCAAAGAAAAGGACACATCTAACTTTACTTATTTGAAAACCATTTCTGGATTTTGTGCTTGAGATGGAATAAAATGAAACTTTCATTTTGGGGTTTGCTGATGAGATACATTTGTTGTTATAGAAATAACTAGTACATATTAGCATGTAAAAGTAAAAAGTTGAGGCTGTAATATCCTATTCTACTGCACTGAAAAGAATTGGGAGTCAGTTCTTTTCTCCCCACTCCCTTTCCCCCTATACTTTTTTTCCTTTTCCTTCCCCCATTTCCTCATTATTTTCATTTTCTTCTCTATTTTATATCCTAGTAAACTTAATAAAAATGTAAATGTCAAGAAAAAAGAAGGTAGAAGTTCATATAAGAAAGGAAAGAAGCAGGTAGAAAATCTACCCATTAAACTTAGTATATTTAAAGTCTGAAATAAGCTACTATGCTTTAGCCCATTTGTAAATTTCTACCAATCCCACAATAGATGTTTCACCCTACACCCTACAATTTGAGAATTGATTAAAATGTTTACCATTGGGAAGAGGAAACTGTGAACAGCTTTTCAGATGCTTTTGAACTAGAATTTTAACTTCAATATTAAACTAAAGTTTAGAAACACTTGGCAAAATTTCAAACACACTATGATTTATAAAGAATCATATTTGAAAGTCGAAAAACAAATAATTCACCAAGTTAGTACTTGCACTTTAATCACCAGTTGACTCTGTAACTCTTTACTGTCCAGCCTATGTACTATAATGGTTCAGTTATTAGATTCAAATTGGAGATGTTCAGATTTAAATCCAACTTCAGGCATGGATATTCACTGAATTAATCTTTTTCAATCTGTCAGCAAAACATACTTTTCAGGATTCTTAAGGTAAAATGAAAGGATATGATGAGAATATGATTCTTCATCTACTCAATTCTCACCCTGATGATAATGATGATAATGCCTTTAGTTTCAAAGTGTTTTTAGTGTTTTTAGAAATGAAGAGATGAATTTTGAGAGAATTAAGATATTTGATGGAACTAATTTCAGGAGTTTTGGAATGCTGATCTGTTATTCAGTAACTTACAAAGCGGACTTACAGTTTTACACTTAAATGTCTCATAATGTTCAGTAACATTTATTTTTTAAAAAATCATAACATTATACAGGTAATCCTTGAGATACACTTATTATAGTCACATGTCACAATGGCTGTTAAAAGAAGCATCTCATTTAATGATCTCCCCATCCCTGTTCTCCCCAATGAATCATTAAACAAATGTGGTGGTCATTATGTGCAGCATTTTGGTACCTCAGGGGTTGAGAAGGCTCTTGTACAGGCTAGCCCACAGTGGTGGGATTCAACATTTTTACTATCGGTTCTGTGGGCATGACTTGGTGGGTGTGGCAGGGGAAGGATACTGCAAAATCCCCATTTCCTCCCGATCAGCTGGGACTCAGGAGGCAGAGAATAGATGGGGGCGGGGCTAGTATTTACCAGTTCTCAGAACTATTCAAAATTTCCGCTACCAGTTCTCCAGAACTGGTCAGAACCTGCTGAATACCACCTCTGTAGCCCACCTATGCTGACCCTCTCCCTACCCCCTGAGACACTTTGTGCTAGCTTTCTGCCCCTTGGGTCCCCACAGGAATTTTTCCACTCCCAAGCATTATCACATGAGTTCATGAATTTTTGGGAAGGAGCTAGCAGTCAATTGGGCTTATAGTAAAGTTGTTTAAGACATGCCATACACCTTGGGCAGAAAATTATTGCGATGCATATCTTGCTTGCTGTGGTGCAATGCACTACTATTTTAATTTTCCGTAATGCTTTGGAACATTGTAAAAATGTAAATGAAAGAATTTCTTAGTTGCTACGCATAGTTGCATAGATATTGCGGTATGCTAATACTAACTGTATCTGTGGTGAATATAACATTCTATCATGCTTTTATTTTATACCAGCCAATGACTCTGATGAATACTATATCTGTTGTTAAGCAAATGTGAAAGAAACTGGTCTGAGAAGTTTGACTAATCTCTATAAGATTCAGTCTAATACCTCATTTCACTGTAACTGTAAAACCTGTAAATCTATGACTATGATTTTCTAGTTACATTAATTGATTTCATATATTACATTAATACAATGCCAATGTCCCTATCAGAGTTTTTAAACATATTCTTAGTAAAACATATTCAAAAGACTTTTTGCTTTCTAATCATTATGCAATTTGATGTAAAGTTCGCCTGTTTCTCCAGGAATGATACAATAGCTTAACTGTGTTAAGCTTAACTTGAGAGGAAACGAATTGTAGAATTGCAAATCCTGAAAACAATTTGTCAATATTACCTGTCTTTCAGGAAACCTAAAGTTTTGCCTTCTGATTCTTAATCAGCCTTTGAACAAAGACCATTTTTATCATTTGTGGAATAAAGGTAAGAATTAATGTATGCATTCTTCTTTGTCTTTGCTGTCTGGATTCATGGAGAGTGTTTTAGCATCTTTTCAGAGTATGGGAAATCAGAAATCAAAATCATTGACAAATACAAATATATCTGTATATTTACAGATATAGCAATAGAATTTGTCCTAGAAAAGTGTGCTATAGTAGCAAATAAAATAAAATAAAAATCACAGTAAATCAAAAGCAATAATAGAATTGATGCACAAGCTATCAGGAGCTAACAGGATGAAGTCTGATATTTGGGCATTTTACAACATTTTGACAACATTAATCATGGAAAAGTTAAAATTTAATAAGTAAAGAATATATCTGAAGAGTGAAAAACTTGGTAGAGGCAAAATGGAACAGTAGAAACGCCATCAAAGACATGGGCAATACCTGTGATACAATAAATTAATGGAATTTTTAATTGGACACTAGCTGTAAATTAACAGTTTGAACCAAAAAAACCAAGAAAACTATTCACTATTCATTACATCCTTGTAGTGTTGTGAAAAGGTTCAGTCAATTGCAAAAGGCTACACTTCTTGGATCTGCACATATACAATATTGATAATTCTTGGGAAGATTTCAATGCTTATGAAGGCCAATACTAGCTGAAGAACTGGTATCTGTGTCTTCACAATATTGTGAAGACACAGATTATAATAGACAATGTAATAAAGAATGAAGAAGCAAAAGTGCTTTGGAACTTAAGAATTCAAACATACAGGCACCTTCCATATAATATCCCAGATTTAAGAATTGTTGATAAGAAAGACCAAAAAGAAGTCTATATAGTGGAGATTGCAATACCTAGAGACAGAAAATAGAAGAGAAAGAACTGGAGAAAACCACAAAATGCAAAGTCTTGCAAGCAGAAATAGAAAGTCTAAACATCTAGATGACTGCAATCAACCATAATAATAAATCTGTATTTCAAAAGAGTAAGTCAGGAAAAAAGATGGAATTTTCTTTGCTATCAAGTAGCTTTCTATACTGAGCAATGTTTTGGTACAGAATAGTTAACTTTTAGTCACAGAAACCTTACCTACATTATAAATCACTACAACTAACAGCTTTATGACTTCAGGTGAAAATAGTCAAGATAAATCTATCTCTCTTTTTTTGCCAACAGCACTAGTTAACCCATGTCTGAATTTTATTTGTCAGTTCCCACTCAGCAATAAGGTAAATGCACTTATGTGGGAAAGACAATTTTAGGAATATTTGCTAATTAAGTTTGTAATAACCTTTGGTTCACCAATGTTGCCATTATATTTTTGGGAGTATTTGTTTCAGAAAGTTATTCAGAAAATTGGCTGGTTTAATTAACATGTAAAAAGCTGGTAACTTTTTATCATCAACACTGGAAGTTAGTTTTCCCCCCCTTCCTTCAGTTGTGGATCTGTGGGATTTGAATAAGCACTATAGAACATGGTGCCCTTAGAGATATATATATCATGAGAGGTTTGAAGTTATTTCCATAGGAAAATCAATGCTGAGTATAAATTCTTACTTTCAAGATTCTTACAGCATCTGTAAGCTGAGCTGAAATCCTATTTCCAACACTCATTTATTGAATTTCCAATAGCTAGAAAAATGGAAAGCGAGGCAAATTAGGATTAGACAACAATAACAAAAGCTAACTTGTTGCAAGATTCATTTATCAGAACAATTTATAAAGGAGATACAATATATATAAAACCTGCAATTTGATTAAGCTGAAGCATATACATTTGCCTTAAGAAGATGTCCTGTGGAATTAAAAAAGCTGCATAAACTGAACTGTAAAAGTGTTTGTCATAAACTGTCTACTGCAAATTTTATTTTAGCTATAAATTGATTAGGTTATGGCAGATGTTACCATGTAACTTTGGTATGAGGGTTGAAAGGACTATCAAGAAACTGAGTGCAGACAGACTGGTTATATTAAAGATGCATTGATGTCAACTGCCTGCCTTTTGATGAGATAGACAGGTGGGGGGGGGAGTTAAAATTTAAACTTGTTGCTGCATCTTCCTTCCTTCCTTCCTTCCTTCCTTCCTTCCTTCCTTCCTTCCTTCCTTCCTTCCTTCCTTCCTTCCTTTCTTCCTTCCTTCCTCATCTGGTTTTCTGTTATACCTATATTGTCAAATCTCTCCCTGCTAGCCTGTGAACCAAGAGTCATCCAGGTACTGTGAAGTTCCTACTTTAAAAGAAATAAAGAATTTAAATAGGATTTCTTGCTGTCATTTTACTTTTCTGGAATTATTCATGCTAGGACACTGTGGAACATGGAAATAATACTTAAATATTTTCTTTCAATATTGTTCAAATATTGTTGTTTAACATCCCTAGATCAGTCCCAGGAGCCAATTGTCAGAATTGTCAGGGTATCTGACAATTGGCTCCAGTCCCAGAAGCCAATTGTCAGGGTATCTAAATTTAGCTTTGGCTAGGACCCGTGGAACATGAGATTGAGTTTCATCATTATTAGATGGCATGAAGTTTGATTTCTCTGTCATCTTTACCATTTGTAATATGAAGATCATGATACTACTTGTATTCTGTTTATAAACACCTGGCTTCTATTATATGATAGGTAAAGGTAAAGATTGCCCTCACATATATGTGCTAGTCATTCCCAACTCTAGGGGGTGGTGCTCATCTCCGTTTCAAAGCCGAAGAGCCAGCGCTGTCTGAAGACATCTCCACAGTCATGTGGCCAGCATGACTAAACGCCAAAGGCTCACAGAACACTGTTATCTTCCCACCAAAGGTGGTCCCTATTTTTCTACTTGCATTTTTTTAAATGTGCTTTCGAACGTCTAGGTTGGCAGAAGCTCGGACGGTAATGGGAGCTCACCCGATATGTGGCACTAGGAATTCAAACCGCTGAGCTGCCAACCTTTCGATCGACAAGCTCAGCGTCTTAGCGTCTGAGCCACCGTATCCCTTATAATATGATATTGTGGCATTTAATATTCATTAAGAGATAAAGTTCATAACAGGTTAACATTAGTATAGTGACATAAATACTATAATAATTATTATTATCTTTAAGTTTTGCAAATTACATTACTATGGAATGGATTTTTTCTAAAATTGGGCCTTAGGAGATAGTAAGATTTTTTTTTAATCTTACATCAAATCACTGGTATTCTGGAAAACAGGAATTAAACATCTGGTCTAGGAGGTCCTGGAAGAAATCTCTTGACATTGTGTAGCATTGCATTTATAATAGACTTTAGTCTCACGTACTCCACTGGAGAGAATATGGGAATTTAAATCCGATATTTCTGGAAGATTCCCAACTTCTCCATAATACTTCAAGCATATAAAGACCAGTAGCTTAGTTCGTCATTTAATAATTGAAGTTTTTTCATATATTAACATCCATTTTATGAAAGATTTCCCAAAAGATGCTTAACAGAACAGGTAAGTATGGTTCAGCCCAATTTACCAAAGTTATTACACGACATGAGTTTTCTACTCATTCTCAGTGGCCTCTCAGGCAAGGGAAATTTTAAAACAGGGAGTTACAAATATCAGTGCTCAAACTGGCATAGAATTATTGGCTTAAAGCAATTTTATAAGTTGATTGTCTAACAACAAAACTATTTTCCAACCTGAAAAATGCCTATCAATGAATCTCACAATTTTTAAGAAGGGCCTACTCTAGAACAACATTTGAGTTGTTGGATTCCATTGCCAAATCTGGGCAATTCCACCTCTTACCATAACATGAGAAGGCTTGCTTATGTGCTACCACAGCCATTGAAAATATTGCTCACCTGTTGTTTGATTTGAATAAATGCCTCCCTTAGGCTTAGATGCTTATCATCCTATTGGAAAGAACAGACCAATGGGAACCGAATTACAGATTATCTTATTTCCTCCTAGGTTCTAATGTATATATTGTAAACAGAACTGCTAAGTTTTTAATTAAGGCTGTTGAATCTGATGCATCACACAAATTAGGGTATTCTGCAAGGGAGATTCATTTATCTGATTGCTGAGTCATTGTATTATCATATATGTATTTTATCACTGTATTGCTTTCTATCTAGTTTATCCTGGAATTAATTTTATTTTTCTTGAAACTTTTTGATAAGGTCATAAGACTAATCAATAAATAAAGTGTTCTATTTTCTACTTCCTAAGGACAATGTAATGGTATTTATGAATGAACATGGGATATCGGGCAAAGAGATGCTATCTAGGGAATGGTCATATAAGAGACAGTATAGCCTACAGGTGCAAAATGGTCAGGGCAAGAGGTTTGGGCTGTATAAATGATTTGATTTCAGTTTCTGTTTCAGACATGCAAGGTTTTGTTAATTTAGCTTTACATAATCTATAATTAGTTTATCTGGTTGTGTTTCTAGCTGGACTATCTGGTAAGATTGCAAGGCATTGACAGCATGTTTTCAAGCTCTTTTTTTAATTTTTTAATTTAAACTTGACTTTTTCAAAGGATAAATAATATGAAATGAAATTTGGCTAAGTATCAGGGGTGAAAGTCACTTATCTTCCCTACCAGTTCGCAAATGTGCACGTACCGTCATCCACACATGCACAAAACCTTCTGCGCATGCACAGAAATGTTAAAATGTTGCAAAAAAATGACATTGTGATGTCCGTGCTGGTGGGCAGAGCCTCCCGCAGCCGCCGCTACTAGTGCGTCCGAGCCGAATAGAATCAGCTGAGTTTCACCCCTGCTCAGTATGCATATGATTCTAACTCAAAATATTTAAGATAGTTAAAAAGATAGTTAATTAGTGTCTGATGGATCTTAATACAAGAGCAGTAAAGGGTATTGTTAGCTCCTTATTAAGCTTTTGGAGGATTGTTTTATATTTCATAAAGTTCTCTGCAAGAGAGAACATAAGAAATAACAGAGCTCTGTTAGGCAAAGTGTTTTGATCAGCGACACTGCATTCAGATCATCCCTATCTTAATTAAGTATTACTTCTGCACTGGGACTTTATTAGTAAAATCCACACAAAT